AGCCGTGGAGCCCAGGCACTCCCAGGGGCTGGGGGAGGAACTCCAGCACTGCCTCACCTGCAGGAGCCCTGAGCAGGGCTCAAAGGCTGTTGCTCTAATAACAAAAGCCAAAACAGAGGCTGGAAGGCAGGAAAGGTGAGGGCAGAAGGATGTCAGTGCCCTGCCTGAGTTCTCTGCAGGTCAGCACAGCCTGGCTTATAAATGCCTGTGGTTTCCGGGCGCTGGAGCTGCTAATTGTGTTACCCTGGGCTAATGCAATTCCAGAGGCTGCTCTGACGTGCTGTCAGCCAGGCCTGTGTGCTGCTCTTGGGGGTAACATCACTGTGGTGCTGCTTGTTGATTACTCCCTGCTACCTCCTTGCCTGTAGCTTTTGAAATCTAATTGCATTTCCTGCCTGCTACCAGATATCTGGGAGGGGTCCAGCCGTGGTTCTGCAGGGTGGATCTGTCCCTGCCTGCCCTGCACCCTGAGGAGTTTGGGAGATTCTCCTGGAGGCTGCTGGCTGTGCTGGGCAGCTGCTCCAAGGTGTTTCCTCCTCTTCTGAGCGCTGGGGAGGAGCAGGGCTGGAGCTGTCAGGCAGAGCCATGGGGTGGGCTCAGGGCTGGGGCCCAGCTCAGTGTGGATTTTCCTTCCAGGGACCCCCAGCCCTGCCCAGCTCAGCCAGAAACCCCCAGTCCCCTCCATCTGACACTGCTCTTTTCTGTCCTCTTTGGCTGTTGTTCTTGCAGCTGGTGCCAAAGCTTTCTAGAAACTACCTGAAGGAAGGATACATGGAGAAAACGGGGCCAAAGGTAGGATATGAAGAATTTTTCAGTCCTTCCAAACATGAGTCTTGCTCTGTATGGCCCTGAGAAGGGGTTGCTGCTGGGCAAAACCAACCTTGCCAGAGAGGCAAAGCCATAACTCTGTGAATAACTCTGTGTTTAATGCACTTTCATCACCTTTGAGCAAACATTAAAAAAATCCAAATCTACATCACAAAGGCCCTTCCTGGTACAGCTGGCCCAAACCCTGGCTGTGGTGGCTCATGATGGCTCAGAAGCCATCTGTTCCCAGCTCCCCCAGCCCATCAGGCTCCTCCAAGTGCTTTGGGACTCCTGGGCCATGCGTGGTTAGAGAGAAGCTGTGCTGATCTGGCGTTTTTTGACTCTTCAGCAAACAGAGGGATTCAAGAAGCGATGGTTCACCATGGATGACCGACGGCTCATGTATTTCAAAGATCCCCTGGTAAGATGAAGATGCCTGGGCTGCCTGTTGAGAATTATCTGCAATATTACTGCTACTACTAATAAGAATAATAGCAGTAATAATTAGAGTCATGGTCTGCAGTGAAGGGCAGGCTGGTGGGAGAGCCGAGGGGGCACAACACCGTCACTGCGTGGTGGCTCTGTCTGGTGTCCAGTGTGCAGTAACCCTGTGCATAGACACCAAAACCACTTTAAAACCCCTGTCCATGATGTATTCTGCATCTGGACCTTGGCTCCCTGGTGCTGGTGCTGTATTGTGGGTGCCCCTGGGTGAGGAGCAGGGCTGTGGGTGGTGCTGCTGGAGCTGTGGCTGTCCTGGCTGCCCGGGATGCAGAGCTCCCTTCACGCTCAGCCCTGCCTGACTGCTCTGCTGTCTCCTAGGATGCCTTTGCAAGAGGGGAGGTTTTTATTGGGAGCAAGGAAAACAGCTACAAGGTGCTGGAAGGGCTCCCACCATCCACGCAGGGGAACCACTGGCAGCACGGGATAACCATCGTCACCCCGGACCGGAAATTCCTCTTTGCCTGCGAGACAGAGGATGACCAGCTGGAGTGGATCACCACCTTTCAGAAAGTCATCAGCAGGCCCATGCTGCCTCAGGAATACGCAGGTGAGTCCCCTGGGGAGGGCTGGATGCCTGTCCTGGCTGAGGGCTGCAGGATGGGATGGCTGGGGAGGGACTGGGGATGCAGGACATCGCTCCTCCTGGTCTGTGCCCGGTGGGATGCAAAGGCTGTTTGGCCACAGAGGGGCTCACCCTGGCAGGAGGAGGAGGAAGAGGGTGGTATGCTTCCCTCTTCATTGCCTCTGGTGTGATGTCCATGCTGCTGTAAGGGTTATGGGGGTAATTAAAGCCAAGGAGCAGCAGGGAAGGACCACTTTGTGTCAGGCTGTCGGCACCTGCCAGTGCTTGCCCTGCTTTAACTTGATTTTCTCTATTTTTTCTTTTCAGTGGAAGCCCATTTCAAACATAAACCTTAGCTGGGACTGGCTGGGCAGACCTGAGGAGTGAGCTTCTGTTTACAACACAACGTGGTTTTATTTGAAATGTTAAAAATAATTCATAATAACAGTAATAATAATAACAATAATAATACTTCCCTTTCCCCTCATCATTCACTTGATCATGTCGGAAGGGCGGCAGTGGAATGTCAGAGAAGATCCTGGTCCAACTTGAACTTCATCTCTGTGGCTGCTCTGTGGGATGGGACAGGTGGTCCTGCCACCCCATCACCCCACACCTGCTGGGAGGGGTGTCCCACCCAGCTTCACCAGGATGGCAGAGACTGTTGGTGGCACATCCCAGGGGCAGCTGGGACTTTTCCCCATGCTCAGGTCCCTGGCTGCTGGAGCTGAGCATCCCCGCACTCAGACGGCTGCCAGCCCTTTCCAGGGGGGCTGCAAGTCCCCAGGAGGTGACATCCCTGTGGGATGGGAAACAGCCTGGAAACACAGGACGTGGTGCTGTGCAAAACAGCTGAGCCTGCCGGGGTAAATGATAAGAAAATTATCCCCTGGGGACTGGTGGTGATGCTGTACCTGGAGAGGGTCAAATAGGATTTCGAAGTAGAGGAAATGGGCATCATCAGCCTCGTTACGTTAACGAAGGGCAGGGAGGGGGGCTGCAAGGGAGACACCAAGCCATGAGGTGATGCTGGAGGAGCAGAGTTTTGGGGGCCAGGCCTGTGTTTGGCTCCTGGGTCATCCTTGTTCCGTGGTCTGGGGGGCTTTGCCCCATTTGAGGAGCCCGGTATGCAGCTGTGGGGTTGAGCTTTATCTGCAGTTTTGCTCGTGGGCACCATCAAAGCCTGTCCCAGCTCACTCCCAGCAGGCACATCCCTTCTCCAGACTTGGTGGTTGCACTTTTCCCCCAATAATTCAATCTTTTTTCACTGATTTTTC